TGAGTGCACACTTAGTGAAGAGGTCAAACCTCCAGTGTATAGGTAAGCATTAAATGTAAGGTACATTATAGAGGACATCTGTGTATGATGCAGTAGTAAAATAGTTGTTAAGGTAATTTTACATTTTTATGCTTTGGTTGAAGCAGTATTCCGTTTTTTTTTTTTTTTTTTTTTTTTTTTGTTAAACATTAACCCATTGCAGTCATATATATATATATATATAGATATATATATATATATATATATATATATATTATATATTATATATATATATATATATATATATATTTAAATAAATATGTACATTCATGAAACAATTCTTCATAATAACCCCAATACTTCTAATTATCAGGTATCTGATCTTTTTTTTCAGGGGACAATTTTCCTCTTTGACTTTGACTCTATTATTATTATTGTTATTTTTTATATCTGTAGCTTAACAATAAAATACTATGTCCTTTTCAGATCGGAAGTGCAGAAGATGATTGAAGAGGCCGATAAATCACTACCTGTAAATATCCGCAAAAAATTCAAAATGAACACAGGTCTTGACTACTATCCTTTTGGGCACTAAGGAAGGCTGTTGTAGTGTATTATATATTTGTAAATAGATATATGTCTTTGTTTATTTGGAGTATTATTTCTTTCCCTTATTTGTATGTAAATGATTATTGATTGATATTGATTTGGAGTTAGTTCTTAACTGATCTGAATTAGAAAAAGTTTAAAATTCAGTAAAAAAAAATGAAGTTAATAAATCTGGAAGAGTTAGTGTGCATTCTTACTTCAATATCTGCTGACATATGGATTGACTGAACTTTTATACCTCCTGCCAGATGGCTGTTATCTGAATAAGGATTGTTGTAATTATTTGATTTTTTAATTTAAATCAATTTCAACTTCTATCAAGACAAATTTCTCAAGTAAATATGTACAACCCTTCTATATGTGTATTACTCTTCAGAAAAGAGTAATTTTACTCAAATGAGAACTTATTGCTTGACAATGACAGGCAAGGACAAACTGTGTAAAATTTGGGACAAACTGCACACCTTAAAAGGAAAGATTGTAAATTTCATCAGGTCTCAGGAGGTAAAGAATATGTTGGTTTAGAAATGATTGTCCGATAATCAAACTGCAATTGGTATAATTTTTGAAACGTTTATTTATATAAACGGCAATTATATGGCTTTATATCTTGTACATACTTCCAATCATTAATTAAATAGACTAACCATCTTTATTTACAGTTTGAACACTATGTACATTCTAATGTAACAAAATGCAAAAGAAAATATTACACATATGACAAAGTGAATTATAGCAACTAATTCACTGACACTGGAGTTGTTAACTATCATCCACAGCCAAAACATTCATAACCAACTAATGTCTCACAAATTCCTAAACTCTCATTAATAAAATGTCATATATCTAAAAAACAAAAACAAACTAATCTGGCCTTTAATGGACACACTATAATAACCTTGACTGAGATATTAGAGGAGGTGAATACAACAACCTTGGTTTGCACGCCTAGTCATTAACTATCTTTTCCAGCATCTTTCCACCTGTTTATCTCGCCCTCAAACTGCAAGGGTTCAATGACAAGCTTCTGGCCGTGGGGAGTTGGGCCGAGGATCGCCTCAACGTCGTCATAGTTGAGAGTTTCCTTCTGCAGGAGGGATTCGGCTAGCTGTGAGGATGAGGAAAATGAATGCTTTTTATTGAACGGTTTTTGAGAGGGAATATCCAATACCTTGATACAATACCTACATTAATCAATAATATCCAGGATGATGCTTAGGATTTATTTGTAGTTAAATTGAAATATGGAACAATGCAAACTAGGTCACTTACTCTGTTTCCATTATAATATGGAATGACATACACTACACCAAATAACTGATCAGTAAAACAATGATAAAAATGACTCACTAATGTCAATTTATCCATGTTGGCTTTGAGTACTTCCTCTGTTTTCTTGTAAGCCGCAAAAATTAGCCTCGATGCTTCCTCGTCTATTGTGGCTGCCAGCTTCTGCGAATAGGGTCTCCGGCCAACCTCCCTTGTCTCCTCTTCGGGAAAAGACAACTGTCCGACGTTATCGCTGAAGCCAAATGACCTTACCTGAGGGAGGAAGATCACCATAAACAGAGCTGAAACTGCTGGCCACAAAATTATTAACTTTGCTTCTCTTTTTTTATTATCATTATTTTCACCGATGGAAATGGAAAAATTCTGAGAAAAACTGAGCTGTGTCCCTTTAGTTACAATCAAAATGACTTTCAGGGTCAAAATAATTATCATTACCATATATAGGATAATGAAAAATAGACAACACACCTGTGCATATGCCATTTTTGTGACCTTATCCAGATCATTCTGAGCCCCAGTGGTCACACGGTTGAACACCAATGACTCTGCAACCCGACCTCCAAGAGCCATGCACATCCTCTCAAAAAGCTGAAGTGAAAAATGTAATTAAATCATTTGATAAAAATAATACTATACAATCAAATCTAAAAGAATCTCACTAGTTTTATTCTCATAAATCAATTTTCCCCCTTTCATTCCCACTCTTACTTGCATGCATTCTTTATGAAATATATTACCAAATAAATTGCATTAAGAAATAAATTGTCAAAAAATTACCTGTTCTTGGGTATACAACTTCTGGTCTTTCGGTGCATACTGAGCAAACCCAAGGGCTTGGTTGGTTCGGGGCACAATCGTCACCTTAAGGAGAGCATCTGTGTGTTCTAGGATCCATCCTAACAAGGCATGACCTGACTCATGGTATGCAACGACCCGACGTTCTTCTGGTGACAAGGCCTATGAAGGAAATCCATTATTGACTGATCCTACTTACAAAAGAGCCAACAACTGTTGTCCATTAAAGGATCAATAATGAGTGAAACTTAAAACTTTTATATACTTGAGCTTTATCAGTCCTCTTTGAAACATTCTGACAAAAAACATTATCAAACTGCTAACATATATACCATCATGAGAAGATCTTTACTTTCCCGTCATACCTGTGATCTCTTTTCTGTTCCTCCAACTACCCGTTCAACCGCATATTCTAAATCATTCGCCGTCACAACCTTCTTGGCATGTCTTGCAGCATGAAGGGCAGCTTCATTAACTACATTAGCTATGTCAGCACCTATGGACAGAGCAATACAGAAACATTCAGGCTCCCTTAGCAATACTCAGTGTGCTATTGCTTTTCCTCTTTTATCAGATATTAGTAAATACATTATCATATTAAATAATTTGATTGTACAAAAAGAGATATTTGAATACTCAAGCTTCTTTAACTTTTTTAGCATTTTTTAATTATTATTATTAATATGATATTACACAATTTGATCTAGGAGCATAGTTTCACGCTACTCACCACTGAACCCTAAAGTGAGAGATGCCATCCTCCGAGCATAATACGTGCTTGGCTTCTCAAGCACAATGCTCTTCAGGTGATGCTCAAAGATCTCCCTCCGTTCCTCAAGGTTGGGCAGGTCCATCATGATATGACGGTCGAATCTCCCAGGTCTTAGGAGAGCCTAAGGGAACAGAGGAAATGTTTATGTTTTATTTTGTTTTATAGGCCTTATCTATTCATGTACTTAATAACCTATGAATTTATATCAATACCTCTTCAATATGTATTTTTTCCTGAAATGAAGACCAGAACACATCATATGTTATCATGGTCATAAGTACATACAGGATCATCCACGCTGTCTGTTGCTGCTTATGTGCTTATAAATGTACAAACACTCCTGGAAATGAAATGTTCAATGCCACAGCAAACAAAAGGTATAATGCAAGAACTTATAACCTTTTAACTGTACCCTTCAAAAACAAGTATCTTGTATCACAGGCCTTTACTATGGAATAATCTTCCAAAGAGAGTCAGAAAACACACACACACACACACACACACACACACACACACACACACACACACACACACACACACACGTATCCATGCACACAGTTACCCCATTCTCTCTCTCTCTCTCATTCTCTTATTCCTCTCCCCAACCCACCTTATCAAGGATATCCAACCGATTGGTAGAGGAAAGGATGACGACTCCCTCCTTTGAGCCGATACCATCCATCTCCACTAGCAGTTGGTTTAGGGTTTGCTCAGACTCTCCCGACCCACCATCCAAGCCTCCTTGTCCACTGGATCTCTTTCGGCCAATAGCATCAATTTCGTCAATGTACACAATGCATGGCGCTCGCTTCTTCGCCTCCTTGAACAGATCCCTGGAAGTATATAAGTATTTCTATATTATTAACCAACTCCAGTAACACATATGAATGAATAAATAAATAAATAAATAAGTACATAAATAAATAAATAAATACATAAATAAATAAATATATACATTGTACATAAATATGGGTATATATATTTACATTTATATCTATAAAAATTTCTATAGCTACGACTTCTTCCTCACCTAACCCTGGCTGCTCCTAAACCACCAATCATTTCAATAAACTCTGAGCCATTCATCGCCAAGAATGGGACCTGTCCTTCCGTGGCAACTGCCTTGGCCAAGAGAGTTTTGCCACAGCCTGGTGGGCCAAGCAGCAGAGCACCTCTTGGAACCTGTGGAATAGTGATGGTGATAACAATGATAATATTAATGATATTGCAGCTACTACTACTACTACTACTTCTAACACACACACACACCCACCCACACACACACGCATGCACGCACGCACCCACGCACACACACACACACACACACACACACACACACACACACACACACACACACACACACACACACACATACACACACACATACACACACAAACACATGGACACATGCACACACATACACATACAAACACACACACACACACACACACACACACACACACACACACACACACACACACACATACACATACACACACACACACTCACACTCACACACACACACACACCCAAACACACACACACACACACACACACACACACACACACACACACACACACACACACACACACACACACACACACACACACACACACACACACAAACACACAAACACACAAACACACAAACACACAAACACACAAACACACAAACACACAAACACACAAACACACGCACAAACACACGCACACACACACACACACACACACACACACACACAACAACAAAATCTTACCAACCAAAAATCGCATTGCAAAACCCGCCCTCCTCACCTTAGCACCAAGTTCCCTATATTTATCAGGATTCTTCAAGAAGTCCACGAACTCCATGACTTCCTGCTTGGCTTCTCTTGCTCCAGCGACATCGGCAAACTTGACCCCACGACCTGACCCGGGGAGCAAGGGGTCGATGATTGTGAACTTGGCTCGGGTCATCTGGTTCTAAAAAAAATAAAAAATGGATTACATGGTTTAATTTTTTGTACTATTGTTTTCCTTTGTTGTGAAGTATTCAAAGTGATTTGTCAAATGGGTAAATATCTCTGAATATTAATGGATGATATAAGTTCTTTCAATATAATTAAGTCTCTAGAAAATCAATAGATTATGTAAAAGTCTTTAAATAAGAATTTTCTCCAAATCATTGGGGGGGGGGGACTTAA